CCTCCTCCTCCTCCCCCTCCTCCTCCTCCTCCTCCTCCTCCTCCTCCTCCTCCTCCTCTTTCTCCTACTCCTCTTACGCCCAACCAAAGCATCTCCCCAGCATGGTGGAAATCCTCCGATGTCTTGGCCGGCGCCCAAGCGCAGATTGCATGGGTCGGAGTTGAATTAGAATCAAAATCTGTAGAAAGGACGCGCTGTAAGGCCGCAAGACGCCCTTGGACGATCCTTGGATGCCCCAGTTCAAGCTTTTCTGGCGGCGCACTGCCGAACAAATCTAAGAGAGAGCGTGTTTCAAGGGCGCTTGTCTTGGGAAAATTCGGCGGCGCGTTTCGAACCAGGGGGTGGGCCCCCCCTCCCAACACTCGGCGCCGTCGATCAGAACCAGAGGGACCCCCCTCCCCCCTAACCCCCCCTTCTCTCCCCCCTAGCCCCCCCTTTTCTCCCTCCACAAACCTCCCACCTCTCCCAGGGGGGGAGGGGTGTGTGTTCAACCCCCCCCCCCTCCACCTGGCTCCGGCGCTGGTGCTAGCGGCGGCCAGCAGCGCCGACGGCAGACGCAGCGACGATGACCAGAGAGGGCCCAGGGAGGGGGGCGGGGTTCCAAACCCCCCCCCTGTGCCGACGCCGGCGCTGGCGGCGGCCAGCAGCGCCGACGGCGGGAACGCACGCCGACGGCGGGAGCGCAGCGACGATGACCAGAGGGCCCAGAGGCCGCAGAGGGGAACACAAACCGCCATATACACCACCAACCACCACCACCACCCACCCACCACCACAGCCCACCACCACGACCAGCTGGCCCAAAGCCAAAAAACAGTGACGGGAAAAACCGAAGGCCTCACCACCACCACCACAAACCACCACGCCACCACCACCACCGCCACCACCACCACAACTACAACCAGCACAACCCACTACCACCACAACCACCACCATCACCACAAACCACTACACCACCACCACCAAAAACGCCACCACAAACCACCACGCCTCCACCACAACCCACCACAACCACCAAGATCACCATCACCACCACAAACCACCATACCACTACCACCACCATCACCAACACCACCGCCACCACCACCACCACCACCACCCACCACCACCACGAACCACCACCCTACCACGACCACAACCACCACCACCACCACCATCACCCACCACACACCACCACCACCACCACCACCACCAGCACCACCACCACTACCAACATCACAGCCCACCACCAGCACCACCACAAACCACCACGCCTCCACCCCCGCCACCGCCACCACCACTACCACCACCACCACCACCACAACTCACCACCACCACCACCACCACCACCACCACAAAGCACCACGCAACCACCACGCAACCACCACAACCACCACCACAACAACACACCACCACCACCACCACACCCACAACAACACACCACCACTACCACTACCCTCACGTATCTACCACATCACCACCACCACCGCCACAACGACCACCGCACCACCAGAACAACCTACCATCGCCACCACAACCACCACAAACCACCACACCCCCACCACCAGCACCGCCACCACTGCCACCGCCACCACCACCACAACCAGCACCACCTCCATAACCCACCACCACCACCACGGCCAACACCACCACCACCACAACAAACCAACACACCACAACCACCACCACCGCCACCACCACCACCACCACCACAACCCACCACAACCACCACCAGCACAAACCACCACACCTCCACCACAACCGCCACCACCACCACCACCAGCACAACCAGCACAACCCACCACCACCACAACCATCACCATCACCATAAACCGCTACACAACCACCAAAAACGCCACCACCACCACAACCCACCACAACCCACCACAACCACCATGACCACCATCACCACCACAAACCACCACACCAGTACCACCACCATCACCACCACCACCACCATCACCACAAACCACCACACCACCACCACAACCACCACCACCACCACCACCACCACCACCACCACCACCACCACCACCACCACCACCACCACCACCACCCACCACCCACCACCCCAGCACAGTCCATCACCACCACCACCACCACCACCTCAGAGAGGCCCCGAGAGACGTCCAAAGAAGCAGGTGGCTTGACAAGTGCCCCTCGGAGGCCCCCGAGAGCCCTCCGACGAGACCCCAAGAAGCATCCATTAGGACTCTGACCCAAGACCAAGTCACGGTGGCGGAGCGTCGTCGTCGTCCTCGTCATCGTTGTCGTCCTCGTCGACGCTCCCCGCCGTAGCCGCCAGCCGCCGCAAGCACCAGCGCCGGTCAAGAAAAGGAAGTCGTCGTCTTCATCGACGCTCCCCGCTGCCGCCGCCAGCCGCCGCCGACGCTGGCGCCAGCCCGAGGAGAGGGAGAGAGGAGAAGTAGAGGGGGGAGGGGGGGGTTTTGAACCCCCCCCCTCCGTCACGGGAGGGGGGGGGAATGCGAACCCCCCCCTTCAATCCAGGGGGGGGGTCCGATCCAAGCGCCCACAGAAACGAGCTCTTTCAAATCTAAGGACGCAAGGGTGCCCTTGGGAAGGTTACCCGTCCTTACTGTGGATTTGCACTGCAGCACGAAGGAAGCGGGTCCTCGTGGAAACGCCTCCTGGGCCCCTAAAGCCTTCCCTCGGGCGGGTGGTACTGGGAGGTGGCCCACATGGAGGGTGAAGAAGAGTGCCCACAAAGGGGCCCGAAAGAGCCCCTTCCAGGCCCTTTTCTTCATCCCCCATTTGTCGGCGGCGAGCCCGGGGGGAAGGAAGAAGGGGGGGGGCCTTCTGAGAAGGCTCGGAAGTCCCCCAGCCTTCTGATAAGTTTCCGAAGCCTTCCAGGAAGATACCAAACACCTCTCAGAAGGCCTGAGGCCTTCTGAGAAGCCCCGCCGCCTTCTGAGGAGGCCTTCTCCTTCTCACTTCCCCCCTCGCTCGCCCCCGAATTCAGGTCACACACCCCACGACCACCCGCCCAATTCCCCAGGAGCCGCTTTTCATCCTGGTGCGTACGTCTTGTGACGGCCCTGGCGCCCAGTGGTGAGGGGTCCCCAGGAGCCCGGAAACAGGGTTAACACCTCCTCCTCCTCCTCCTCCTCCTCCTCCTCCTCCTCCTCCTCCTCCCTCCTCCCTCCTCCCTCCTCCCTCCTCCCTCCTCCCTCCTCCTCCCTCCTCCCTGCACCCAAGCCCGCAGAACCCTGGAAGATCCGGCGCTCTGACTGGCCCCCGTGTGCATCGACCCCCGTCTCAAGGCTCCCGACCAGGCGGTGGCTGGGGCTTTCTCTGTGGCTTTCTAGCTTGAACTCCTCTTCGGGTGTCTTTCTTTTTTCTGTAGAAAGGAATGAGAGCTGCTTGCCTTCATCGCGTACGCTGACCTCAGCCATACTGAAGTACGGCGACGACGACGAGCACGACGACGACAACGACGGCGGCGACAACGACGACGACGACGACGACGACGACGACGACGGCGACGGCGACGGCGGCGACGACGACGACGACGACCGACCAGGCGATGGCCAGGGCGGCTCCGCGGGGGGCCCCGCTCGGCTGGGCTGGCTCCTGGGGACGTCGGCGACAGGACGCGGGTGGGCACCGGCATCTCCGTGGGCGAGGAGGGAGCGGCGCGGCCTGGGCGAGGGGGGGGGGCTCGGGAGGGAACGTTTCGGGCTTGCGAGGTTACTCTCCTCCTCCTCCTCCTCCTCCTCCTCCTCCTCCTCCCTCCCCTCCCTCCCTCCCTCCCTCCCTCCCTCCCTCCCTCCCTCCCTCCCTCCCCCCTCCCTCCCTCCCGCCTCATCCTCATCCTCGATTCCTTATCCTTTTGAATAACTCCTCCCTGTCGCACCCTGAGACGTGTCAGTAGGGAGGGCCGGGCGCTTCGCCGGAGACTTCCTCACCGCTCATGATTCTGAAGCTAGACATGAACAAGAGCTTCACAGATGGAGGGCGGGTGACTGTCAAGATGCACTTATCGCCTAAGCGCCGCGCGCATTCGTCTTTAAAGTTTGCAAGAGCTTCACGGATGGGGGGTGGGTGGTTTTCGAAGTGTGGCTCTCGCCTCTCGCCTCAGCGCCGCGCACTTGCGTCTTAAAGTTTGCAGCTGCTTCACGGATGAAGGCGGGTGGTTTTCAAAACGTGGCTCTCGCCGTAGCACCACGCACACTCGTCGTAATCATTCATAAGAGCTTCACGGATTGAGGGCGGTTCCTTTTCAAAATGCGGCTCTCGCCTAACGCCGCGCACATTCTTCTTAAGAGTTTACAGACGTCCCAAGGATTACTATGGCTGACGTCGTAGGCATGGTATTTTGGCTCGGTGTAAGACTGTCAGAGCGCAATGGTCACGTTGATTCGCAGCGAAGTCCCCAAAATGGTGCTATGGCACGAGTCTGGATCGTCAGGACGCAACAATAATGCTGATTCGCGGCGCTGAAGTCCCCAGAACAATCTTCTGACACAGTTCAGGATTTTCAAACGGTAGTTTTCCTACGGGGCACTTCCCCAAGTAAAAGCGAATCCGTGTAGGGACCTATGAAGAGGGAACTTTGAGGGAGGGTTCATTGCAACATCGTTGATGAGTCTTGGGTTTGCACAAGTCCTTCTCCTCCTCCTCCTCCTCCTCCAGTTTCTCCTCCTAAATTCTCCACCTCATCGTCAACGTCTCCGTCCAGCTCCTTCTCCTCCCACTCCTCCTCCTCCTCCTCCTCCTCCTCCTCCTCCTCACCCTCACCCTCACCCTCACCCTCGCTCCTCCCCCCTCTCTCCCTCCCTCCTGCCCCACCTCATTCTTCTCTCCTCCTCCCTTCTCCCTCCGCAATCTTCCCTCCTCCGTCGTTCCTTCTCCCGCCTCCCTCCCCCCTCCTCCTGTGGGGCGGCTAGACGACGCGACGCTAGTGTGACACTAAATATTCTCAAAATCTGTCGGGTCAAGAACATTTCAATGCCAACGGAAGCACAGCGTCGAAGAAAGCGCGTGCACTGGCCAGACGTGGCCTTTCTTCTTCTTCGGCTCCACCAACTGCGGCATGCTCAGCTCACTGTCGTCGTCATCGGGACCTGCCAGCTGCTCCCCGCTCCTCCTTCTCCTCCTCCTCCTCCTCCTCCCCACCACCACCACCACCACCACCACCACCACCACCATCACCACCACCACTCTCCTTGCTGCTCCTCTGCTACTCCTTATCCTCCATCTCATCTTCCCTCCTCCCTCCTGCTTCTCCTCCTACCATTCCTTCTCCTCCTCCTTCTCCTCCGACTCTTCTCCTCCTCATCCGTCCTTCCTCTTCCTTGCTGCTACACCTCCGTCTCCACCCTCCTCCTCCTCCTCCTCCTCCTCCCTCCTCCTCGCGCCTCCTCCCTCCTCCCTCCTCCTCCTCCTCCTCCTCCTCCTCCTCCTCCTCCTCCTCCTCCTCCTCCTCGCGCCTCTTCCTTCCTCTCGTCTCCTCTCCTCATCTCGTCTCATCTCTCCTCCTCTCCGCTCCTCTCCTCCTCCTTCCTCCTCCTCCCCATCCTCCTCCTTCTCCTCCTCCTCCTCATGTTCCTCCTCCTACTCATCTTCTGCCTTTGTTGTTTTGTTGTTTCTCTCGTTTTCTCTCTCTCTCTCTCATATTTCTCCTCTTCCTCTCCCTCTTCCTCATGCTCCTCTTCCTACTCCTCCTCCTCAACACCACCACCACAACAACAGCCACCTCCACTACCACTGCCACCACCACCACCACCACCACCACCACCATCATCATCATCATCATCATCAGCATCATCATCATCATCAGCATCATCAGCATAATCATCATACTCACTATCAGCATCAGCACCATCAGCATCAACACCATCATCATCACCACCAATATCATAATCAACAACAGCAGCATCATCATCATCCGCACTATCAGCATCATCACCACAACCACCACCACCACCATCACCATCACCACCACCGCCACCATCATCATCATCATCATCAACATCATCATCACCATCACCATCGTCATCACCATCATCGGCATCGTCATCATCATCAACGCCCTTCTCCTCGCCGTCAGTATCAGCATCAACACCGTCAACATCATCATCGGTATCCTCATCATCACCGCCATCACCAGCCGGCTGCAGCAGCATCATGACGATTATCATCATCAGCAGCATCGTCATACTCGCCAACAGCATCACATCATCAGCACCACCAGCATCAGCATAATCATCAGCATCATCATCACCACCATCACCGTCGCCATCACCATCCACACCATCATCCTCATCAGCATCATCATTATCATCATGAGCAAACGCATCATCACCATCATCATCACAACCATCACCACCAGCACTGCCACCTTCACCAAGGCCACCGCCATCATCATCACCACCATCACCGTCACAATCACCCTCATCACCCTCATCACCCTCATCGCCCTCATCACCCTCATCACCATCACCCGCATCATCATCATCATCATCATCATCATCACCATCATCATCATCATCATCATCAGCATCATCAGCAGCAGCAGCATCATCATCATCATCATCACCATCATCATCATCATCATCATCGTCATCATCGTCAACAACATCATCATCTGATCCAGCATCATCATCAGCAGCATCATTACCACCATCACCATCATCCATCTACCACCCTCGCCACCATGTCAACATTACCATCATCATCATCATCATCAGCATCATCATCATCATCACCGTCATCATCAGCATCACCTTCATCATCGGCATCATCATCAGCATCGGCATCAGCATAGTCATCAACATAACCATCATCGTCGTCATCATTTGTACCATCACTATCACCATCATCAACATCATCATCACCGTCATCATCAGCAGCATCATCACCGTCAGGGTCATCATCATACCACCACCATCACCCATTATTACCATTGGTATTAGTATTCATCATCATCGTCATCACCACCACCAGCACCATTATCAGACTCACCATCATCATCACTACCATCATCATCACCAGCAGCATCATTGTTCCTCCTTGTCCTTTCTCCGTCCTTTGTCCTCATGCTAATCCTCCTCCCCCTCCTCCTCACCATCGTCGTCATAATCATCGTCGTCCCCATCATCAACATCATCATTACCATCCTCAGAATCAATCACACCATCTCATAATGATCACCATCAGCCACGCTCATCAGCATCGGCATGAAGAACATCGCCATCGTCATCATCATCATCATCATCATCATCAGCATCATCATTATCGTCATCCTCATCATCAGCAGCATCTTCATCATCACCGTCATCATAAACATGACCATCGTCACCATCATCATGATTCACCATGGCCCCTCCTCCTTCCTTCATCATATTCACCCTCGCTCGCGCGCAATCCTGGCCCTCCTCCTTCTCCTATTCCTCCTCCTCTCTCTTTCTTGCGCCTCCTTTATCCTGTTCTCTCCTCCTCCTCCTCCTCCTCCTCCTCTTCCTTCTCCCCCTCCATCCCTTTTCCTTTCAAATTAACTCCTCTTTGTCGCACTTCCATGGGTGTCGGGAGGGCAGGCCAGACGTTCCGCCTGAGACTTATGATCCTGAAGCCTGACATGTGCAACCGTTTCACTGGTGGAGGAGAGGTGATTCAAAATGTGGCTCTTGCCTCAGCGCTGAGCACGTTCGTCTCAAAAGGTTGCGACCCTTTCACGGATGGAGAGGGGTGCGTTTTCGATATGTGGCTCAGTTTCGCGGAGGGATAGGGGTCGTTTCCAAACGTGGCACTCGCCTTCGAGCAGCGCGCAGTCGTCTCAAACCTTTGCCACTGTTTGATGGATGGAAGGCGAGTCGTGCTCACAATGCTGCTCTCGTTTTACCGCCGCGCACGTGATTCCCGAAAGTTCACACTAGCTTTAAGGACGGAGCACTGCTTATTTTCAAATGGTGCTCTCGCACTTGCGCCGCGCGCACCCGTGCTTATAATGCATCGTTTAGCCGGATGGAGGACTGCTCTGTTTAAACATTGACGTATTCCCTGCGATCCCGTTAAGGTTAAGGACCCGAAACTTCAAAGCACGTAGCGCTGCATGGATCCATGGTGGCTCCTTTTCGAAAGTTAACTGTCGCTTGAGACTCCTTCGGGGTTCAAGACCACAAGGGCAACCTTGCGCAACAGTTACGCGGATGGGGGGTGCGGCCATTCTTTGAAAGAGGGGTGTCACTGAACACCTCGCTGAGCTGTATGCTCCTTGTTTGATTATCGCGTTCCTGGCTGCGCGCCTGGTGCAAGGCGGTTGCTTTCAACGTGGGGCCCTCGACACAAGGGCAGCCCCAGCCGTGATGGTCTTTCAAGGGGGGGGCGCTCCGTGCAGTGAAAAAGAAGACTCACTGGCACGGGCGTACACCCTGCGAAATGCTTAAGAAATCATGGGTTAAGAAATTCATACATCCCCCAGAAATGGAATAAAACCCAGAACTTCTATCAAAATCTTGGGATTTATATTGAAAAGTTAAGAATAATCGAGACTCTGGACGAAAACTGAGGTTTTCTTAAGCATCGCCTAAGGTGTATGAAGAGGGAGCTTGGGATGGGAGGGCGCAGTGCAACACCGATTTCAAACAGGAGCTGTGGTCGAGCGAAGAGTGGTCGCGCACAAGACGCGTACAGGACGCCCTGTGCAGAGACGTGTTTGTCCAACAGATGTGCGAGCACGAGTCCGCCAGTGTGGCCAAGACCTTGCACACGACAGAGCCAACACAAGATCGCACAAGACGTCCCGCACAAGACCTCGCACAAGACCTCTAGGAGCACTAGTTTTGTCAAAAGCAATACCCTGGTCCTCCTCCTCCTCCCTCAAAGCCCACCCCCAGACTATGAATTCGAGACGGGCCCAGCTGACGCACCAGGGCACCCGAGGCGGCCCCCAAAGATCCCCAACAATGTCAACGTCCCCACCTCTCCTCCCCTATCCCCAACCTTTCCCCACCCTGAGCATCAGCATCAAAATCATCACGGTCAGCGTTACCACTGACATCATCATCACCAGCACCATCGCCAACAACACCATCACCCTCCGCACAACTACAACAGCCAATAACAAGGCTATCACCACCACCATCGTCATCAACACAATCATGATGAGCATCATCATCACCACCACCAACATCATCATCAACAGCATCACCATCACCATCACCATCACCATCATCAGCATCATCATCATCATCAACATCATCATCATCATCACCAGCATCGGCATCATCGTAATCGGCATCATCACCATCAGCATCAGCATCATCATCAGCAGCATCACCATCACTATCAGCATGATGACGCACACCACCACAGTCACAGTCATCACCACTATCACCATCACCATCACCATCACCAGCTCTCATCGCCATCGTCAGCATCAGCACGATCATCTACATCATCGTACTTACTGTATGCGCATCAGCAGACACCTCCTTATCAACAGCAGCACCACCATCACCACCCCACCACCGCCACAAACACCACCATCATCATCATCACCACCATCATCATCATCATCATCATCATCATCATCATCATCATCATCACCATCACCATCACCATCATCAACATCATACGCAACCATCACCAGCAGCATCACCATCACCATCATCACCATCTACATCGTCAGCATTATCATCATCACCATCATCGTCATCATCACCATCACCATTCTCGTCACCATCCCCGGCAACATCACCACAACCAACATCAACATCATCATTGTCACCATCACTATCTTCACCAGCAGCATCATCATCAGCAGCAACAGCATCATCAGCATCATTATCATCAGCATCAGTATCATCAGCATCACACTCATCACCATCATCATCATCATCATCATCATCATCATCATCATCATCATCATCAACATCGTCATCATCATCGTCATCATCATCATCGTCATCATCAGCAGCAGCAGCAGCATCACCATCGCCATCTGCCTCCCTGGCCGCCCCCGCGCGCGCACGGAGACGAGGGGGCGGGCCCCGCGCGATGGGACGATGACGAGGAGGAGGAGGACGAGGAGGAGGAGGAGGAGGAGGAGGAGGAGGAAGAGGGGGAGGAGGGGGAGGAGGGGGAGGAGGAGGAGGAGGAGGAGAGGAGGAGAGGAGGAGGAGGAGGAGGAGGAGGAGGAGGGAGGAGGGGGAGGAGCGAGGACGATGGGAGGAGAGGCCCCCCGCAGCGGCCCCCGCGCGACCCTCGTCGTCTACCCGGTCGGGGGACGGCACCGCCGTCGGGACGGGCATCTCGGTCGGAGATGGGGCCGCGGGCGCCGAGGCCTCCGCTCCCACGGGGAGGAGCAGGGAGAGGGGAGAAGCAATGGGAGGGAGAGGAAGGAGAGGAAGGAGGAGGAGGAGGAGGAGGAGGAGGAATAGAGGAATGGAGGAATGGAGGAATGGAGGAGGAGGAGGAGGGAGGAGGAGGAGGAATGGAGGAATGGAGGAATGGAGGAGGAGGAACGGGGGAGGAGGAGAAATGGAGGAATGGAGGAATGGAGGAGGAGGAGGAAAGGAGTAGGGCGCGAGAAAGAGGAGGGGAGGCTCTAACGCTACACATTCATTCCAACAGCATGTAGAATGACAGGGGATCGTAGGCGAGGGGGAGGGAATCCACTAGCAGAGCAGAGTACATGAGAAATGGCACAGAGGAAGAAGCCGAGGAGGAGGAGGGAGAGGAGGAGGAGGCGGAGGAGGCATCAGCATTAGAGGAGGGCGAGGAGGGAGAGCCGACGAGGAGGAGGAGGAGGTGAAATAGAGACGAGTTTGGGGAGGAGGATGGAGATATAACATCAGAAGGGGGAAGTTAAAAGAGAGGGAGGGGGAAGAGGATGAATAAGGATATCAGTAGGATCTGTGTAGGGAAGACAGCAGGAGGAACGAGGAGAGAGGAGGAAGAGGAGGAGGAAGAGGAGGAGGAGGAGGAGGAAGAGGATGATGATGAGGAGGGGAAGGAGCCCGCTTGTCAGTAGGATGGGATCACTGGCAGCGAGAAGGTGAGGAGGAGGAGGAAGAGGAGAAGAAGGAGAGAGGATGGGGAGGAGACACAGCAACAGCAGCAGGATCTCGCCTCTGTGAAACGCGCGCGCGGGGGGGGAGGGGGGGTCTTCGTCGCACGCCCCGGCCGCGTATTCATCCTCCTCCTCCTCTTCCTCCTCCTCATTTTGCTCCTCCTCCTCCTCCTCCTCCTCCTCATCCTCGTTCTCCTCCAACCCTTGTCGTCCTCCCCCAATCCTTCTCCTCCACACTCCCCCTCCTTCGTCCCAGCACGCGCGGTCGCGACACTGTATCAGGATGGATGGGGCAACGCTCGTTTCACTGACGCGCCAAGACGTCGCGGGCATGCCCAAAAGGTAATCGAATGACGCATGCTCCTGCCCTTACACCCATATGCGACGCAGGCGTCGCACGAGGCAAATTGGAAGTCTGAAGTCGGATCTCCGTACGCCTGTTCTCCCGTTACTCCTTCTGTCAAGAACAGTGTTCCCCCTCCTCCTCCTCCTCCTCCTTCTCCTCCTCCCCCTCCTGCGCGCTGCCGCTGGTCTTACTGTACTGACAAGTGGCGCTCGTACCACTGGCCAGCGAACCTAATCAGAACACGCTACGTCGTGAAGTACCCTACTGCTCAAGGCACCCCGGAACGACGGCCGTGTCCGAGTCAAGTCGAACCGTAACTGACAAAATCCGCGAACTTCGTCAGGTGGTCCCCGTATGCTCGGGAGGGGGGGCGTGGCCGACTGCGGCAACTACTCCTCCTCCTCCTCCTCCTTCTCCTCCTCCTCGTCCTCCTCGTCATCCTCCTCATCATCCCCTCCTCCTCCTGCTCATCCCCCTCCTCATTCCCTACCTAGGCTCTGCCTAGAAGGATTCTTACTCGGTGTGCTTAAAGGGCCGGGCAGTGTTCCACGCCCCTGGCGGTTCCCCCAGTATCCGCCCCGCGGTTCCCCCAGTTACGTCCCCTTAGTTTAGCGTTGCTTATCTCATCTTAGCTTAACCTGAATTAACTTAGCTTAGCTTAGCCTAGCTTAGCTTAGCTTAGCCTAGCTTAGCTTAGCTCAACTTAGCTTAGCTTAGCGCAGCATTAGCATATCATAGCATAGCAGCATAGCATTGCGCAGCATAGCATAGCATAGCATAGCATAGCATAGCGCAGCATAGCATAGCATAGCTTAGCAAAGCACAGCGCAGCATAGCACAGCACAGCACAGCATAGCATAGCGCAGCATAGCATAGCATAGCATAGCATAGCGCATCATAGCATAGCATATCATATCATAGCACAACATCAACAGCAAAAGCAAAAGCAAAGGCAACCGCAAAGGCAAGCAATAGCAAAGGCAATGCAAAGCAAACGCAAAACCAATGCGAAAGTGTAGATGTATGATTAGATGTAGGTGTAGGTGTTGATGTGGATGTATGTGTAGATGTAGATGTAGATGTACATGTTGGTGTGGATGTAGGTGTAGATGTAGATGTAGATGTGAGTGTAGTTGTAGATGTAGATGTATATGCATTTGTACATGTAGATGTAACTGTATGTGTAGATGTGGATGTAGGTCTAGATGTAGATGCAAGGATTTAGCTGTGCTATTACTACTATTGCTACTACCGCTACTGCTACAACTGCGACGATGAGGAGAAGGAGGAGGACGGCGTTTACCGTTACTACTAATATTGCTCTCCTCGGGGCTCCAACTCCTAGGTAGGGTCGCTCTGGGATAATTACAGTATATGATCCTCCACATCCATTCCTTCTCCTCATAGATAACTCCTCCCTGTCGCAGCCCGAGGCCAGTCGAAAGAGCGGGCCCGGCGTTTTCGACACCATGGGTGACCTTGATGCTTAATTGGCAATGGTTTCGCAAATCGAGGGCGGGCCGCTACCAAAATGTGGCTCTCGCCAGAGCGCCGCGCACACTCGCTTTAAACATTTGCAAGAGTTTCACGGATTGAAAGCGGGTCGTTTTGAAAATGTGGCTCTCGCCGTAGCGCCGCGCACATTCGCTTTAAACATTTGCAAGAGCTTCACGGAATGTTTCACGCCCTCCGCGGCCAGGACACGGCGGTGGTCCACCTGTCGATTTGCTACCGCATGCATCCGCAACTGCTCGCCTTTCCGAACGCAGCCTACTACGGCAAGGGTATGACGAGCGGCATCATGAACCCGCTCAGAGACAGGCCCATAGTTGAAGGCATCCCATGGAGAGACATCTCACCCTGGGAACCTAGGCGCCTGACGGAACTCGCCAAGCTCACCAGTTCCAACGAGGCCGACCTCAGCGCGACCCTCAGGCAGTTGGATCCTCCGCAGAACGGCGACAAGCACCGCTTCCTGCTAGTCGGCACACCCTCGTGGGAGGTTTCGTCCGGCCTCCAGCCAGGCTACGCCAACCTCCCCGAAACAGCGCAGGCTGTGGACATCGTGCGGGCACTCCTCCCCGAGCTTGAAAGAGGCACCACCGTCCGAATCGCCGTTGGCTGCAAGCTCCAAGCGGCCATCCTCATGGACGGCTGGCCACAAGGCCCGCGCCACCTCAGCGGTGTCCTGCGGAACTCGAAGAGTGGCAAGAAAGGGAAATCCGGCAAGGGAAAAGGCAGCGGCGGTCGTAGCGGGCAAGATATCCCCGGCCCTGGAGCAGACTCCCAAGAGCATGAGGTCGACACTCACCGTTGGGAAACCGTCTTTCGGGAGGGTCGTAACGCCCACACAGCCATCGGCACAGCCTTCCCTGGTCTCAGACAGATTGCAGGCAAGCACACGAAAAGTGGGGCCCTCAAACTCACTACCATCGACTCCAGCCAGGGCGGGGACGCAGACATCGTGATTGTGCTGACCACCAGGAGCAGCGGGATGCACACACAACTGGGGCTTTGTCGATGACGCCAAGCGGCTGAACGTGGCGATCACGAGGGCCAAGCGGGACATCATGATGTTGGGAGACGGGCGCATGTTCGCCAACGCCACTTGGTCCCAGCTACGTGTGCTTTCCGAATACGGGCGCTTGACCCACATTTGGGTCAGGTTCGGGGGCGACGGACCCGCCGGCCACAGGCGATCCCTGGTCATAGACGATAGCTTTGACCCACTGCCCGGCCTCGCCACCTGGGTACCCTCCCCCGTTGCCTGGAGTTGTGACGCGAAGGGAGAGGATGGGCGCAATGAGCTCGATGCGGCCAAGAGAAAAGCCCGTGACGCTCAGGCGAACAGCTTCGCCGATCGCTTCAACACCCCACTGGCCGATGACTTCGACTGGGACTCCCTGGGCAAGTTCATCTCTGACGGCTTAAACGAGATCCTCTCGACGCCTGCCTTCCATGTGCTCATCTACCTGGTGGCGGGGCTCCACCCGCGCGAATTCTCGCTGTCCGAGACACCAAGGCAGCCTGGCAGACTCGACCGGAAGGCGTGGTCGCACCTGGGCTTCCTGTTCGACATGTCCCTGGGTTTAGACGCGACCAATCTGGTCTACGACATGCTCTGGGCAGCCATAGTGTGGTCACTCGGCCTTAGCACTCCCTGGGAGGACGCAGGTCACGCAGTGTGCAACGACTCCCTCCCCCCGGTGCCGCACGTCAGGGGCCGACGTGCAACGCTCTGCGGGCGGCGACAGTGCACCCCCAAGGGACTGTTCCGGCAGGTTCCCCAGGCGTGGAGTGCAACAACCAAGGATTGCTGCAGACACAGGAAGCACCCTGGGATGGTTGGCCTGCAGGAGATCTTAGGCAGCGCTTCCGTCGATCCAACCAGGGGCCGACTCCGGGAAGAGATCAAGGACACAGATGGCCTCCCCATGGAGTCTTGCAAGACCCGCTCGCTCCTGGTGGTCAGGATGTTAATGCAATCTTGAACGGACACCCCTCCCAGGGCGTGGGTCCCAAGAGACTCGGAACGGCGTCAGCCTAACGGAAAAAGACAGCGGGCGTGACGAGGACTTTCATTTCTTTTTACCGCGCCGGAGCTCAGGCCCACGCCTGAGTGCACTTGCGATGGCGGCTGACGGCAGAGCTGAAACACTGAGAGCCCCTGGCCCACGAGGCCGAGGGGGCTCGAGAAATCTGACAGTCTGGCCAGACCATTAATCAAACCCGAATTCGCAAAAGTCCAAGCTACTTTGCCTCTCCTCCAGCGTTTCCCAGGGTGGGAAGGGCGGGACGGCAGAAAGGCTTGAGGGGAAGAGGCAGCGGGAGGGGAGAAAGCGAATGCACAAGCGATGAGACCAAATGCAATGCAATCTTGAACGGACACCCCTCCCAGGGCGTGGGTCCCAAGAGACTCGGAACGG